CACTTCTCAATGCCTCTGCAACAAATATAACTTTGTTGATAGAAACTACAAAAAACTGAAGCTCAATGCAATACATACCTTTGAAGCTTTTTTTGTGATTGCACATACTCACTAACAAAATCACGAAATGGTGGGCAAACGGAATCAAGAAGCGTTATAAATGCTGACATCGCATCCGAAGCACTCAAGTCACCAAGATCTTTCCACGCTTTGCTGAAATTTGTTATAGAAAGAAGTTACTTCACAATACCTACAACTTCAATGTCCGGGATGTTTCCAGCTCTCGCAAAGCATATTCATGAAGAAACAGATAAGTAACTTAATTAGTACCAATTTCAAACAGATTCTGCTTGTGTAAATCACACAGTGAGCAGCTGATTTGACTTAGAAGAAGTAATTCAGTGGCTAGTTTTTTTATACCAAATGAACACCACTGACAGTAATTGTTAGTTACAGAGAATGCCTTGCTTTACAACACAAATTAACTACAGTAACGGGAATAGATTTGTTGCGGAAATAAAGATTTTCGGACTGATTTTATAAAAACTATAATTCAAACCACTACAACTGCTATCAAGAATCACTCATTCATTTATTCGAATTAAGGAAAGAAGATGGCTAGACAAGCAGACATATAGACGGGTAGATAGAGAGAGAGAGAATGAGATAAATGTTATTCTTCTAGTTTACTTTATTCCGCAAATATGTTCTTTTGCACGCTGATTTGTTTAACTTTCAAACTCCTCAATACTTTCAATTTCGAACTTGAATGTGCAGTATTTTCAGGACTAATTACGAGATTTTGATTCAGAAATGGAATAGCCAACCAAAATCAGCTCGAAAACAACGCATACAATGAAACTTTGACTGATCTTTGCATAAGAAAGAATGCGACTACAAAATGACCTCGACAGTGAGAAAGAAGCAAATCATATTTAGACCTCAGCTTCCTAAACAGCACTCTGTCACTGCCATTAGCAAGCATTACAACTTTCTACTCCATCTGCATCTACAATTTGTACCATCAATCCACAAATTATCTCTGCTTACCCACTTTCTATACACAATTCAAATTCTTACGTGTAATTCGCCAATACTTCAAATAAATATTTCTTTCTAATCATATCAACTGCATGCCGTATTAAGTTCAAGTTATCAGACTAATCGCAATAACGTTTTTCAGTTAATACAACAAAACATTATATCTGATGCATGAGCATAAAGTAAGTACGTCGCCATTGTTGTGAGTGCATTCTAGCCAATATTGTAAAAAGAAGATAAATGGACATTTGAATAGTGCGAGATGAAAATATTCCCCATGATGAGACCCAATATGAAATGACGTAAACGAAAAGTTAAGCACGTAATATGAATCAAAGATATTTTCTCTACATAATGAGAGCTCAACTAGATTCAAACATCCATTTTGCGCACGAATGACATCGGCAATCCCAAAAGAGTATATCAATGTATGCTCAGGTATGAAGCATAACTCCTACGCCCTCAAGCATTTCCGCATTTCTCAAGCTTTCCTGCGACGTATCAAAATTTCAACTTCAAACTATCACTCTGATAAGGTGAAGAGAGAAATACGTCAGACAAGAAGGGATTGCATTTCTGCAAGCAAATAAATATGAACAAAGCAGCAGCGACAACACTTAGCTTCTTGAGGTTATTTTATTGATGCCACGACTTTCTGTCTACTTCGTGGTCAGTGAGAGAGAGTCTATTCTGATCTCATTTAAATCAAAATTGACAAGTGAGTGAAGTGACTGCTCGCAGATAATTCTTTGAAGTTAAAGGTCTCAAGGAGAGAAGCAGTACATACAATTCATCTTAACAAGCATCACTACAACCTACTCATTCCACATATTCTTCTCGGATCTATACATAGCGTAGTATGAAGATGATATATTATTGCCTACAATGAATCAGAAACTAATCACTACTATACATATATTTCTGAGAGACAAGAATAAAGTTCAAAAATAATAGTAGCAAGACTTTTACGGCTTGATAAATGCATCTCATAAATTAAATAAATTTAATAAAAGACTGCACTTACTTGATACTAATATTGGCAAGCAATTGTATGTATTTTATGCACACTCAACATAAAAATAAACTTGATAACTGCTTATAACCAGCAAATAATTATGTTAGTAAAAAGCCATCCGGAAAGCCTAAATTGGAATAGCGTAATCCTTAATTAGTTCTATAAATGCTGTTTCTACCCTCAAACAGCTCTCATTTTATTCAGCATCCTAATTGAATCCATACTATTTCAGCACAAGCCTTACTTCATTAGCAGTCATTTTTTTTTCATCTTTCATTATTACGTCTGTTGCCTTCCACAATTTATGACAACTCAAAGGTTTAAACATGACATTTTTGTGATCTTTTCCAGAAGAAACTAGCATTTGAAGTATGCCTTCTGGTTGTTACATTTCCATTGCAGTTTGTCATTTTCAATGTTAACAAAGCGGAAAGCAGTAATACGATATCTGCCCCAATAAACAAGTTAAACATGTACTGAAAGCTCCAAATAACAATAGTAATAATAATAATTTAAAAAATGAAATTAAAAAATGAGAATTAGATCAAAAATTATTTTAAATGCAACGATATGAGTGATATAGAATAAATTTCAGCAAAAAATAAATAAAAGAAGAATGCTTCAAAGACAAAGAAAGGTAAAATAAAAATGTTTCAAAAATGATAGCCTTTTTTCTTTCTCTTTCCCAAAATTTAAAAAACTGGATAGAGATGGTTCTCGAAAGCAAATCATGAAACTTTAAGATTAGAAAAAGCCTTGACCAGATCTGCACTCACTTATCCTGCTTTAAACCACGACAACACTTCCTTCACAGGTCATCAAATTTCTCACTGGACAAAAATTATTGACTGAAAAAAGTGTAAAATCTTTCTAAACTGCAATATTAATAATACTACCGTATCACACCTATTACAAACTTTTATGTCAGTCACTAAAATCCAAAAAGAAAAAACAAAATATTTCCAAAAAATTCAAGTTTGTGCATAAATATGCTATTCAACTGGGAATAGTTAAAAATAATGGAGCATAAAGAAACTGAAGGATTACGCATGAGTATCTTGAGAAATCAATAAATATACATATCATAAATAAGCGATGAGATATTATGTATACTTTTTCAACTTAACTTTCAGTAAAAGCAAATCAACATTTAATAATTTAAAAACGAAAGTTTAGTTCAAAAAGAATTTTATCAATAGGAGCTTTTCAACAATACTAACCAGAAACAACCACTGAAATTTGTATAAAATTTACAACTTTTAAAAAATGGAACTTTCAGCAATTTTGACTCCCACAACATGCATTTACTTTCACAACATGCTGTGATGTGTTTACATTTAACTCATCTTTCTCACTCATCTGATTATTCAAACACTGAATCAAGCAAGGCTTTCCTGACTGAAATGCACATTATTTTTTTTAAAAAGTGCCCAAAATGGTACGTAAGCAATATGAATAATCAGAGAACTTTAAAATTATAATTATCATTTATTTCAAATATTTCGCTATAAAAATGGGCGATAAGTACAAGATTTTGTCTATTTTTTGACTGTTTGTTTAAATCCAAAATGTCAGTATTTCTAAATTTATAATATTTTATGCAATACTGAAGACAAATACCTTACTTTTTGTTAAATTAAATCCTGGTTAAGCAGCAAATGAAGTACACAAACACAAATTTTCAAATAAGAATTTCTGAAATATACTTACGTTCTATCACTGCCGACCAGGTCAAACCACCCCCAATCATCAGCATTTGCATCATATGGACCATATCGAATCTGTTTAGAATATGCCATAAATAAAAGTCTATTTTCGTAAGAAGCCAAGAGATCACCGTTGCGTTTTCTCTCTAAATATTACATTTTAATGAACTTTTCGATATCGTAGAAATGGATCACATTCTACCAAATGGCTTCAACGTATGTACAAATGATATCAAGAAATGTGGCTTTCATTCCATTAATTTATATTACAAGAACAACAAGAAAGCCAATAATATTATATATGATATTAATGTAAAAATAATGTTGCAAGTAAATAAACAAAAAGTAAATTTATCACTACCTCTATAAAATGATATAGACAATTTGTAAAGATCTTCTAATGACATCTCAAATTTGCGCATAATTAAATCGACCTCTGGAATAATTGTGTTACTGCCGCATTCAGCAGCTCGACTTCCCATGGCTACCATCAATCTCAAAAAAGTATTTTAGTTCACAATTTGATATAGCAAAGAACATATTTATTAATTGCATATTAAAATGTTCAAAAATATGTCATTAGATCAAATATTAACAATATCAAAAAGTATTACCAAAGCAATGTTTACAACAAAAACACTTATCACAAACTTATTCGAGGGCTCAAAACAGATTTAAAGAAATTTCTATCACGCAGATAAATCTCGAGAAACTGTTCGAAACATTTTAAAATGTTTCCAAGCAATGTACTCTATATTTTTGCAATAATTTACTTGTAAGCTTCTCCAGAAAAATTTAATACTCTTCTCCACTGCAAAAAATTTGAAAACAAAATACAAAAAAGACTTTTTTACATCCAAATTTCAACGTCTGTACACGTGACATAAAAATGGAACGGATTATTTCACAATTGCGATTCTTAAAATAATTAAGAAATCGATTTGCTGAGCCAGTGTAAAACAATTAAAATAATTTTTATGAAGTATTTAGTGACGTACCAAAGCTGTACGAGATTTACGTGAAAAAAGAATCAAATGGGTTGTATTCCTAATCAAATTAATGTGAGCAACGTCGGAAATCACATTGTGAAGAGACATTGGGCCGTGAAATATTTGTCGTTAAATACAGAGCAGTGATCAAGTTGAACTGTGTTTGAGTTGAATGGTCTGGTTTGGATTAATATAATTTTGGTTTTTCTGCTCGTTCTTCCCATTGTTTTCTTTTACATTTGCATACACTGCATGATTTTTTTGTTTATAATGCAATTTATTTCGGTTTTGCTTGATGAGAAGGTGAGAAATGCTTTCTTTGCTGTCATATTTCGTCTTACTATTAGTTTTCTCCGTAATCCTTTGTGCGTTATTTCTTAAATTTTCAGAGATCTGTGCTAATTTTTCCTGTGATCTGATAACGATGTCTACCCTGAAAGATACTATTTCTGTTCCTCAAACAGTGCCCTCAAGTGGTGCCAACACGTGCACAGCTTCACGTCCTAGTATTAATCAACAAAAGTCTACTCTTGACTCGCAGCCGTATGCGGCATTACTTGCCAGTGGACCTGTTTTACCTGGCACTTCTCTTAGGCTTGTGTTTAATTTTATGCAGCGTTTGGTTTTCTATGTATAATTAGTCAAATGAACATGTCAAAACTCAAACAAAACTTATCATTTTTTTCGATTTCGTCTAATGATCTTAGCCTCTGAATGAGTTTCTTTAAGTATGCTAAGAAGAGAATTTTCACTATAATTTATCGCTCTTCATTTTTATTTGCATACTCTTGGTAACTGTTATATTTTATGTATTGCTGCTTAATTGTATGAAATGTGAATAAGTTTGATTTATAGGGATTTTGTGAACGACTTAGACAACTACGTTCCAACAATTCCAGATGCTGTGGCAATCCATTATATGAAGAAATGTGGGGTTGATTGTGCGGATTCACGTGTTATACGACTGTTCTCCCTCGCGTCACAAAAATTTATCTCGGATATCGTTTTAGATGCTATGCAGCAGGTAAGCGCATTTTTATGTTTGCTTGAAGCTTTGTTTATTTATTGTAATTTAGATTAACTCTGTTGGTATGCTTTCTATATTGAAACGAGGTTTTCAAGATCCTGTTCACTCTTTCCTTATACAGATGTAAAAGATTCAAAACGACATAAAGGGATGATTATTTTGTAGGTCGTTTGAACGAGAATGTTCACAGTAATATTTTTGTGTTTTGGTAACTTTTTACATTGTTTGGTTAATGAAAGTATAATAAACCAACTTAAGTTTGAAGTATTCTCATATTGTGATTTCTGGCCTTTTTATTTTACAGGCACGAATGAAAGGATTAGGACAAACAAAGAAGGGTACGAAAGAAACGCGATATACGTTAACGTTAGAGCTGTTAGAACCAGTACTTGCCGAATATGGTATTGAACTGAAAAAGCCTCCTTATTTTCAGTGATTCTATTCCCGTAGTTCTGAATTTCAAGATTTTATTATTTTTAAACTTCAAATAATTTATATACACTTTACCTCAAATCAGAACAGTCACAGTATTTTTGACTTGACTGTACGTTTTTTCTTCAATGTTTCTTCATTTACAAGCAATTTAATTTTCTGTCTACAA